AAAAGCTCCGTCTCCGGCGCTGAAATCGGTTCAGCCGCTGCAAAGCCCGCTCCGCGCAGCCGAGGCGCGCAAGCTACCCACGCCGGAAAGCGCCGGGAACGCTGTTCCGACGGACCCACGGCCGGGCACGGGGATTTTGCAGGCAGCGCCTTGATCTGATAAAGAAAATCAAAGACACATTCGCGCTGTTTCCGCCGGCTAGAAACAACCTTTCCCCTGGACATGCCAGGGGAGCCAGGAGACATTGTGCTGACTGGTGGTTTTTTTTTGTCTCTTTGGTTTTTGGTTTTTTTTTTTATTCTGAAATAGTCAAATATAAATTACATCTAAATTCCATCTGCCGCAAATGAGCTTTAAGTTAATGCTGCGAAATAATTAAAAACACATTAATATTTGGGGCTTTAATTTTTTTTTTTTTTTCCCCTCGTGCTGGGGGAAAAAAAAAAAATCCCCTCGGGTTGATGCTGTAAACCTGAATTCTTAGAAAATAACCTGAATGTCACAGCAACCCCCTGGCAAATGCAAACAGAAATAAACTTCGTGGAAAAAAAAAAAAAAAGAAGAAAAAATCCACTGTTTCATTGCTAAATAATAGAAAGTAGACATTTTATTTAGGCATATTTTTGCATGCACTGGTTAAGTCGAAATCAACGGAGCTGCAGCCACCTCTAATTTTGGCCGGTAACATTTCTATTTGGTTTAATTGCACATGTCTAATATTTAAACGTATTAAACCATGTTTCCCTGCTTACGGTAGTGTCATATACATTTCTCACCTTTTAGGTTCTGGCTCACAGGAGCCCCTGCGACTTTGACAGCTGTCGCTTTGGCTGCACAGGAGACGAATCGCCCTCCTTTTGGTGCCAGAAGAAGCAGGAAATTAGCCAGGTTGCAAGTTGAAAATCTGCCACGCCAGTGCTTTGAATCCAATATGCCACACCTTCCAGCGGGGGAACTGGAAATTGCCATCCCGGATCTGTGTTCTAGGCGGCTGCTTATGCCGAACCTCCGCACACTTTGTTCACTATTGCCTTACAAAGAACAAATGAAATGGGGATTGAAAGCCAGAGAGATCCGAAGCAGGACAGAGCTCAGCAAAAGAATGCGGCTCTATTCTCGCAAGGGAAATTATAAAAAAGTTCATGTTCACGGTTACCATCCACATGACCGACGACGACCAATGGAAAAACCGAACAACTCATAAAGTTGTATTGCAAAGTTGTAAATTTTCATAAACAACAACGGATTTATGGCCTTTTCCTCATCACTAAGAAGAGGCAGGTCTTAGAGAGGCGCCATCTTACCACAGAGGCAGCCCTGGAGTTTTTTAAAAGACCTGGAGTTTGTACTAATTTTATTAAAATTACAATTAGTACGTTTAGCAGGAACGGAGTGTAGTAGAAAAAGGGAACTTCTGCGCAAATGATGCTCTGCTTCTACCTGTATTTACCCGGCCGAATAAAGGGACTTTTCGGGCGAGCTTTTTTTTTTTTTTTTTAAATTTTTAAAAAGATTGAAAATATTTGATCTCCTTGACATGAAGTGGTACTTGGCAAAAATGATACATTTGCTAAAGGGGGGCGATTTTCCCCCCTTTTTAATGCCACCCTGATGCCCCCCGCCCCCCGAAAGCCGCACGCACAAGCCACACACGTACCCGACCAGATCATTTACACTTGGAAGTTTCGCATCGCACTTTTTGTTCATTATCAAATATTATTTCACTGCATGCGATTTCAGCTTGATCGCCGGCCGCCTGGACTGGGGTTATGATTGCAAGAGGACACGGGAACACGGTGGAAGGAAACCCTCCTATAAAGAAGGCTTTCCGCTTTATTAATCAACTGCGCTAGGGAAAAAAAAAAAATCACGAAGTCGAGATAGAGAAATTGACTGATTCCTATCAATTCATCACCTTGGATTTTTTCCCCCCTTCTGATTACGGGGAAAAAAAAAAGATTTATATGGTCTAATTTCTTTATTTGTCTGTGTAAATTATTTTTTGATGCTTCCTTCGCACTGTTTCCCTAAAAAAAAGAAACACAATTCATTGTCAACAAGCATATTTATTTTCTGTGTAACATAAAACACATTTATCGTGGGAGATACGTGAACACGGTATCACTTCCAAAGAGAGTTCACAGACATTTTTTTTTTCCACTTCCAATACTTACACGGCATATCCAAATGTTCACAACGAACACATCGAAACACATTGTAACATACAATTTTTGAATAAACTTTAGCCAAACCTTCAAGACGGATTTATACAGAGTTCTTAACAATACATCATGCTACAAAGTTTCCAAATTAATTACATACTTCCCAATTTATGACATGATCTTACAAATGAGCTCCAAGACGAATATAAATGACAAAAAAAAAAAAAAATCGTTCAAATATACAGTATCTGCTATTGTAGGAAAATTCACGGTATTACATATTAACACGTTCGGATAATCAGGACAAACAGGGTTTTTTTTAAAGGTGGTTACATGGTCATTTAAATTCACTTTTCAAAGAACACTTTCCGCTATATTAAGTAAGATCAACCTAGGATAAGAAAACGGCCTTTAGCAGAGGCAGCCGAAGGTAGAAGCCAACGGGAGATATTAAACCGCTTTGTACAATATTGGCGTGTGTTTGCTTCCTCACTCGGAATAGTAAAGAATCGAGAACAAAGATATATTGCAGCATATGGTTTTCATTTATAATTGCTTTGGAATAAATATATTATTTTAAATTTAAATATATTCAGCCTTTTCGGTACCAAATTCTATACCAAAGCTATTGATGCGTGCTTTTCGAACGACTACACTTACATTTCTAAAAGCATTTTGCGATTCACATTAGTAATGTTATCTTCTTTTGACTACTAAAATACAGTATACTTTCGAAGATAGGTAGGCGGAGCAAGATACATAGGTAGTCTGGAAAATAGGTAGTACAAATCATTGCTGTAGATTGTAGTGGTTTGTGGAACATCTTTTTTTTTTTCCCCCTTACTTGCTGTTTAACCTTTTGTTAGCGTAGCTGTTAGTTATGATACTTTTCTAACAATAATTAAAAAAAAAAAGAAAAAAAAAGAGAAGTGCAGAGCTACTTATTCAAAATTAGGTAGTTTTTCTTAATGTGTGCCTAATGCACTTTTCCCCTTACGCGTGATTGGGACTATTGAGTCAGGTAGTTACTTCGGAAGGTCACGGTTTACTATCTGTGCAAGCAGCAGTTCTCCCACTGAAATGTCCCCTGGACAAACCCACCCAGGTTTGGGCGAACGAAAAAAACAAATGATTGTATGATGCTCTTAGGAGATATTACCGAAAGGTTCGGCACAGGGCACAGGTTTGGGGAGTACGGGAGAGTAGAGAGAAGGCTGGAAAACCATCCCAAGAAATGTTTTCCTGTTTGCAAAAGCTCGCTTGCAAGATGATTATTAAAGGGAACTGATTTTTTTTTTTTTTAAATAAAACCAGTGAGTCTCTCTTTTTTTTTTTTTTCCTTTAAAGGGAGCTTTTCCAACTGTCATGTGCATACATTATACTGAGATCGCTTCCTCGAGTGGGACTCCTTAGTCCTCCTCCTCTTCGTCTTCTTCCACTTTCTCGACAGAGGCTGCTGCTGACGTGGGCTCGTTGGGAGCCGGGGTGCTGGAGCTCTCTTCCTTGTGCTCCTTCTTCCACTTCATCCTCCGGTTTTGGAACCAGATTTTGATCTGCCTCTCCGTCAGGCAGAGGGCATGGGCGATCTCTATCCTCCGCCGCCGAGTCAGATAACGATTGAAGTGGAATTCCTTCTCCAGCTCCAGGGTCTGGTAGCGGGTGTAGGTCTGGCGCCCTCGCTTCCTATCTGGACCTGAAAGCAGGCACACACGGCCAGGAGTTAGGCAAGAAGAGAGGTGGAAAGTTTTCTCTTTTTAGGGTTTTATTTTAAAAATTATTATTACTATTCAGAAAAGAAATAGACAGACAAACAAAAAGCGGCCGAGCCAGAGCGAATGATCCCCTTCTCTCACTTCCACCCGCCCCCCCACTTTGCCCTAACAAAGACATTTCAGCCACACGACCTGCCCTGCTCAGGCAGGGCAAAAATTAAGTTGCTCGAGACCTAGAAAAAGTGGAGAGAAAGCATTCAGGAGAGGAGGTGGGGGAGGAAATTGCTTTTGGGAGGAGGAACTTTCCCCCCAGGCGATGTATTTCCCTAAAACCTTCCAGACTTTCGCGTTTCGCAAGGGGAAATAAAAAGCTGGAAGGCTGGGCTGCATTTATTTTATTTTAAT